CAACTATTTTACAATTCAAGGCACTTTTAACATACAATGCAACCCTCCATCTTTTTTCTTAACTCTATTTTTATAATACAAATCATACCCTTCTATAACAAAATCAATACCCTTTTCTTCATTTCACCATGTTTCAGATAAAGCAATCACTTGGAAGTGGCTTTTAAATGTTTTCAAGGAATCATTCATCTGATCAAAGGTTGCATAAAGACTTCTACAATTAAAATGGATAAGTGAAAAATTATCTAGATCAATAAAATCATTAAATTGATCATTTGTACAATATGTACAATTGTCATTAATTGCATTTAGTAGATTACTATCTAGATCAATATTGGTTTCATAGTCAAGTGTTTAATATTCTGCAGCTTTAAATGTTTTCAAGGATTTTTCAGCTGATTTTACCATAGCTATTTTCCAAAAGTACCTCATCTCTTGTGTATCTCAAGAGACCTTGATTCCATCAATTCATGGCCGGAAATTCTTCTCCTTCAACTTCCATCCTGTGCTCCTCAGTATTGATTCCAGATCTTCCCTTTCTTCTGGAATATTCATCTTTACTCCAAACTCACTTAATCCAATTGCAGCAGCCTGGGGATCATTATATAGTCGCACTTTCCTGTCCTCACAGAAGATCTTTAGTCTAGCTGGAAACAGAATCTGTGACTTAATTTTCCTTTCATTGAGTATTTTCTGCACTTCCTTGTATTTTGCACGCTGCTTAAACACAGCTCTTGTAAAGTCCTGCTGCTGTCGAGGCAGATGGCTCCCTTGATGGCATGTCTTTCATTACCTGTCCAATCTGAGCTCAACCTAGTGTTTACTGTGGTCTTTTAATGTGTTATGTGGATGTGTTTGTGTGTGTGGGTGTGTGGGAATTGTTTGTGGATTGGGGTGAAACTATCACAATTGTTCTAAGTGTGGGAAAGGGAGGTATTGTGGGTTATATGGTCCATTTTAATCTGTTACGCACTTTGCGTTGCATCATATGCATGAAAAGTGCTATATAAATAAAGTTAGATTTGATTTGATTAGAAGAATAATGAATAACATATAACGAAAAATCCGTAGAAAATCAATAGGGTTCCCTGCCCGTTGACCTTGGAACCCTAACGATGATGCAAAAAGGGGATGTATGATTGAACACAACACAGGATAAATCTGAAATCCTCAGATGTAAACTCCGTTCATTAGCACAAAGTTCCTCTTGTTTTATTTTCTCACACCGTCGCTGACCAGCGCTGCAGATCTACACAATCTTCATCATGTAGCTGCTTTGTAATAATAAAACTCAGTGCTGTAAATTCTCCTCTGTGTGTATTGACTGAGTGTGTGAGAGAAAGATTGCTTGAACTTTTCAACTGTGGGTGTTGACCAACCCATGGGGAGGCAGGGAGAAGAATTGGCCATTTTCTCCAGCCTCTATCTGATCCATCGTCTTGAGAGGTTGAACAGGAGGGTTGTTTTTACTCACACACAGCAGAAACTCAAAATCCAATTATTGAGGTAGCTGGAGGAAAAGTTACTCTTCTGGGTCTTTTGTTGGTCCCACTTCTGATTTCTTTTGTTTTTAAACAATCAGCTCATCAATAGATAACGTTATATTGAAATATGACTACATATATAGTTAAAATACTGCTCAGGATATTTTTGGGTCTTGTGTACTTCACCTCTGCCGTGCACCGACTCCCACCTGTCCAGTGTAAGAGCACACATCACGGGGTATACCAAGCTAACCCAAAACCCTACGCTCTCAGTACGGAAAATTGGCCGATGCCTCCCGTGGGACAACAGAGTTTTAGCAGCTTTCTCTATTCAGGTCATCTAGGGTTTCCCCCAGAAAATCAGTTAAGCCTGGCGGATTCGGACAGAGGCGGGGGGGGGGTCGCGCTCCGTCCGCAGCGCTCCTCCGTGAGAGCGGGGGTGGGGGTGGGGTGTGGGGGGGTTTGCACACATTCCGCTGCGGTTTCTCACCAGTATCAGCTGATGGAGGGCTCTAATTTTGTTGCACCGTTGTGTCAGCGGACACGGTAGGGTCGGGGAGGGGGGCAGGGCATGACATTTAGCCTGGCTGGCCGCCAGGTTTATAAAGCTCTGGGGAAAACCCTGGGTCATCTGTTGCCACTAAACAACTCCACGCTGCCATCAGTGGACTACTGATTTCTTAGAATACAAAGTATTTAATGATCAACTTTACTCATATTTATGACATCAGCAGTGGCCTCTAGGAATGAATGCTTTGTAAGTCTGACTCTAGGATGAAAAATCTCTGGTGCACCCGTTTCAGGAACTAGAAGTGAGCCAGATCAGAGGTGAGCTTCAGGCGGCAGGATTTGGAGTCTTTCCTGATATTAGGACATCTCTCATTGGATTGGCTGACAGCAATGAGACCCTTTTAACTCCACAAATAACCCGAAGGTGTTCAGTGCCTGTATCTGAAATAGCACCTTCCAGAGTCCTTCAACCCCCCAAGGTACTTTACTACGCAGTCATTCACCCATTCATACACATTCACACCATGGTGGCACTCGCAGGGTACAGACGCTTCTCTTTTTGCTCCCTTATCTTTTTTTCCCAAGGCTCTTTGTCCTGTCTGCCCACAGAGCGCTTCTCTGCATTTCTTCTGAAAACCCCTATTTTTAACCATGGATTTGATGAATTGGTCATTCAACGCGATTGATAAGATTTTTTCAACAATGAGAACAGAGCAGAGGGCTCCCACATGCCCACAGGGGACACACCAGGTGGGGTATATGCTGGATTCCTGGAGGGAATGGAAGATCGTATGCCTCTCCCAGCTGTCCATTGAGGACATCGAAGACGTGTGGATATTCGGCCTGATGATCACTGGATTTCTCAGACTGGGACGTTACTCGAGGTGAATCGTAAGCTGGACTATGTTCTAGCTGCGATACCGGTATTAGTGCGCAAAATGGATGTCATCTCAGAGAGGGTCACCGGACGGTATGGACAAGGTTAAAAACCCAAATTGGCTTCACTTCGGATTGGTGGACTTCAGCCTGGCGAGATCATCAACCTGCAGGAGTCAATGTGCTCTGCGCTTCTCCTAGGATCTCCCTCCTACCTGTGGCTACAGTGGCTGAGCGCCATAGATGGCTGCTTTTACTGGGGGAAACAGGATCCCAGCCGCCCAGCATCTTTGATTGATTGATGAGCTACGTTGTACCCACAGCTGTCCTGGACCAATCAGGCGCCACCAGTCCCTCCGACCACCACCAGCAGGCATGGCGGGTTAAGTGTTTTGCTCAAGGACACAACAGCAGCATTCTCTGGAGGGAGCCGGAATTGATCCTACAACCCTACGATTACTGGACAACCTGCTCTATGTCATGAACAACTGCTGCCCCTTGGTGGGGTTGCTAATGCTAATCATTAGCTTCTGCTAGTCAAGACTAGGGGTGGGAATTTAAAAGTTTTATCAATATCAACACGATTGTCAATTCTGTCTATTGATCCATTTTCCTATCAATTCCCGAGAAGTTCAATAGGTGGCAAAAAATGTATTAATAACAATAAACACTAAATTATAAATGTTGGTTTATTAATGATGGTATTGTTTGGAAAGATCTTTCAAACGTTCTCCTTTATGCTCCTTGTGAAGGCAGAGTCATCTTCTAGTGTTGCTGTAGCTTTTGCAGAATGGGCCACAGGTCGGACTTAGGTCGCTGCAGTCTGCAGTGTGGAGGTGTGCAGATGGTGCTAACATGCTAGGCTGTGTTAGCTGATTAGTTACTTGCAGGATTAACAGGAAAGGATGTGCAAACACCACCGCCGCTGCTGCGTTGAAATTTACTAATCCGGAGCGAGTCAAACACACAACATTCACTTTGAGTTATCGCGTATTTTGTGCACAAATGCTTTTTCATATCTGTAGTGTTTCCTCCCTTTGATGAAATATCTACATAGCAAGTTTCCCTGTTGTCGTCCTTTCTTGTAAAGTATAACCGACCTTTTGAGCATTTGTGCCGCTTAGGCGCCATGTTTCCTGCTGAGTTACTGCGTAAGCTATGCAACGTGCACGGTGACGTCATCTGGGCGCACTGGAATTGGTAAGGGAATTGTTAGCAACAATGGTAAACAATTCCTAGGAATTGAAACAGTGGGAAACAGTTCTCAATAACTAGTTTTCGATTCCCACCCCCAATCGAGACGTTCTCTGCCGTTTCCTGGACGCTAACCCAGCAACAGCCTTCACCGTCGTGAGTCAAGATGAGTCCATGAATGTAAGGGACAGTGTGAAGTAGATCTGTCAGGATTTTCTAATCCTAGAGTTTCACTGTCTGTTTTCTATCAGAAGCTACTGCAGGAGATAGGTGTAGGAGACTATTTTCATGTTCAGCCTGCATGAAACACTCAGAGTGACCCGTTAGAATCAGAAATAATCATTAAAAAAATTGGTTTGTAGTGAAGTTGTCCTTTAAGCACAACTGAATCAGAAAAACTGTGCTTTCAACACTAAACTTTAGGTTGTTTGCATTCAAAACACTGAATAAGAGACTGGTAACCTGACCGGGGTCATAATAAACCAGCTAGTACTACCCTCACGTTAAAACATCACGAAGAACCCGCTCCGTTAGAAACAGCAAAAAGCTTCGGGTTTCTGAACCATAAAGACAAAAATCAAATCTCCACACAACAGGACGACTCAGCAATATGTTTAAGTCAGTCAGGCTGGATAATTCATCCAATCAAATGTGGCTCTCACATGTGGTCTTTAATAAAGTTCCCCCAGCAGACCTGGACATGGCTTTCATCTCCACTCCCAGAGGTGTCCTCATCTAATTTACTTTTCATCACCTTTGTCTTCTCCACCATCTTCTTACCTTGTAACCTCATCTTTCCTTTTCATATACTCCCAATCGCCTCTCAGTTTTCACCCCGTCGAACTCTCACACTTATTCACTCCAGTTTCATTTCAGCTCGTCTCTTGCCTGCTTTCTTTCTTTCTTTCTTTTACTCCTTTTTTAAAAATCTCTCACCTTTCCGTTATCTCCCTCGCTGAATCACCTCCCTCCGCCACTCGGGTTATTCCTGAAGGAAACAGAGCGAAGCCTGGAGATGCAGCGGAAGATAAAAAGGCAATAGACGAGTCTGACGGAAAGATAAAGAAAAGGAGGATGTTGGGACATTTCTGGTTTTGGTGTGTGTGTGTGTGTGTGGTGGGGGTCATATTTACAGATTATGGTTTTGCTCATTTGAAAACATCCTGTGCACTGACATGAAGATGCACATCACTGCTAATGCACTGTACAGCCAGAGGTTATGAGTGAACTTATCACTTCTTGCTATTTTTAGATTTGCTGCTTGAATAAAAGCCACAAGAAAAAGGACCAAGTTCAAGTGAGGACCACATTCTTCTCATTTTATGCCCAGACAAGGATGCAGACTCGTTTCCTGCAGCCCACCACTAACAACTTCCTTCTCGAAGCAGAGCCAAAGACTTGTTCTCAGGAGGTCGCGACCCCAGGAAAAGGGGGAAAGCGACTCTCGGTTTCTGTCACAGATCAGGTTTTATGAGCCTGCTGGGAAGATAAAAGGAATATAGAGTTTCTTGCATGACCTGAGAATATAAATCACACTTAAACTGAAGCTTTATGGTCAAGGAGACTGAAGAATTTTAGATTAAAGATGGTCAGATCTAGATTTACATTTGTTCACAAACAAAAACCATTACCTTCAGTAGATGTCCCTGTCCTGTGGCACAGACAGGTGAATCGTTTTATTTGTCTATTATTTGTTGCTAATTAAAGCCTTTTACTCCATTAATACTTAGTTCAGAGAATCCTTCTGGAATATTCCTTTACCCAGTCCTACCCCTGGGCTGAAGCAAACTGAAGAGGGTTACTTTAAAAGAGCACAAACTTCTGCTCATCTGAAGTCATGAAATCACATTTTTGCTTTCTATTGGACCCAAACATCTCAACTCATTCGCTGCCAGCGTTTCTCACTGTTTTTACAGTTTTTTTAAGAGTCACAGAACATGCGTGCCAGGATGATGTCGACGCCAAAACAACCGAAACAAAGCGGAGACTCACCTCTTACATCAGGAAGAATCCGCCCGTTTCGAGCGTTATCCGTTCTTTCATAATCCGTTGTTGAATTGTGATCGGCAGAAGCTTTTCCGGTTCACGCCTCACTTTTATACAGCAGCGGTCCTAAACGATCTAACACATGGACGTTCTGCTTCCTGATCATGTGACGTGTGACGTACGCGGATCGGCTTTAGAGCTGACATGTTCTCACGGTGCGGGGGCTCATCCGACGCCCACACAGTAAAAAAATGCAATTGACGACTTTAGTCATCATTGGCAGTGAATGAGTTAATATCGTAAGTATAAAATATGGGTGGTGGCTGGAAAGTCCGGAACGAGGTGAAAATGTTGATTTGTTTTAATAACTCAAAAATGACAAGAGGCACAAAAGTTGCACACAGAAAATTCTATGTAGCAAAGAAACAGGAAAACAAAGACAGCCTTTAAACAATGAGGCAACTTTCCTCTATAATGATACGTCATGTTTTCATAAAATTTTAGTTATAAACCTGAAAATCAAAAGTAATAAATATTGAATCATGAATTCTTATGAATAAATAATAATAAAAGAATAATTGTTTCTCTGAGCCCATGCGTTGTTTAGTCGATGAAGGCACATTATTCGTCCCGTTTTTAATGTTCAACTAAAGCAGCAGTGAAGTCCTTTGCAAATCCTGGAGCTGCTAACAGGGGAACGCGCTGCTGCGGCATTTAGTTTAGAAAATGAAAAACGACGTGTCCGTTGTATGAAGGTTTTCTTCTCTGAACTCAACTATAGGAATAAATTTGACCTTGAGAGATGAACGGGATTGATGAGCAGTGAGTTTAAACACAAGGGAGCTGCTTTTATAATACTTCATAAAACTTTTCTCCTAACAAAACCACCCGAACCGTCTTCTCCTGCTAAATCTCATCTATTGATGTAAAGTCCTGGAGATAACCTGCCCCCGTCGTGCCACAGAGGTGGGCAGTTTTAAGGAAGTTGATGGTGAGGAAAGAGTATAGTTGATTATCTCTTCTCTCTCACGTCCACCTCATCTCTGGATTGAGCTTTTAATCAATTTTTTATCTCATCGATTTGGTTCTGCTGCTGCCAGCGTCATCGTTTTGACTCACTGCCTTCATCCTGCAGAAAAACAGCACCACACAACAAACGGAGTGGTTTGTGGGCCTGTTCAGAACCAGCCCTTTACTTGTTCCAGCAAAACAGCTCTGGTAGCCGGCCAGGAGAACTGGTGCTCTGGTGACACCAGGAACAAGAAAACTTTCAGCCTTCCATCTCTGGTCCTCACCACGCTCTACAGAAGCACGGTGGAGAGTGTCCTGGCTGACTGCATCACAGTGTGGTTTGGTAACTGCAGCGCTCGGGATGAAAAGATGTTTTCACAAGACGATGTGAGAATATCTGAAAAGATGATCTAGTTCTTCCCTAAAGACGATGACGTAAGGATAAAACCGGGTTCAGCTGCCGTGGACAAGCTCTCGGGTTGGTTGTATCTGTTCAGTAGGGCTGGGGGTAAACGATTATTTTTAAAACGATTATTCTGACGATTATTTTATCGAATAGTCGACTATTCTAATGACTATTTAGAAAATTAATCTAATGATTATTTTTCTATTGCACAATTAACAAAAACCAGAAAATCTCAAATAAATTCCTCAAAAAAATTGATAAATTCTTACTGTAAGAGAATAAACACTACAGGCCTTCCATTTTGTATAACACTGCTTTTATTGTGTTGGTTGGTTATGTTCTGGTGACGTGTAGAACTTGGGAGTGCAGGCTGCTGCCTGAGAGGTGGTTGGAGATGGAGTGTCTCATGCTGCTTTGTTTTGGTCACTTATGTGCGTGAGGCGAGTGGTGTTACGGGTTAAACCAAACTCAAGGTGATATTTTAAACTAAACCGAAAACCCACAACACTCTAAATGTAATAAAAGGGAGATCTACACCACAAAAAAGATGAACTCTAAACCAAAACGTAACAGCTTATCCCAACACAAGAAGCTGTTAGCGAAGATGCTAACAGTAGCTTTACCAACGTTAAGTTCAAGTTACCAAGTTTAAATAAACCAAAAACACCCAGCAGCAAACAGACCAGCATGGAGGAGAGACTGCTACCACCAAAACAGCTCTCCTAATGTCTGAAAGAAGCTCCTTAATGAAGGGAGAAACGCTCCCGGTGATTTTCTACATCTGCGATAGACACGAAGCAGCGCATCTGACCCCGGAAGTTGTTGTCCGTTGCCGGGAGACGAAGGCGGGCAAAACAGGAAAATAATCTAGTAGTGGACGGACATTGTTCCGGGTCTTCGGTATTTGGCGGAGATGTTAGTGAAGGCGGAGAAGAGGGCGAACTAGAGGAAAAACAGGCAGATTCCTCCTCTATTTACAAACTCCTGGGGATGCAACAAGTGGGCGCGGTGCGTCGACTTCCGGATCAGACATCGACAAATTTTTAGAATCGAGCCGTCGACTTCGTCGAGGCTTCGCTACAGCCCTACTGTTCAGTGTGTCGGGCTAACTGATGTCTCACGGTGACCTACAACAAAAACCACACCGCTCTGGTAGGGCTGGGCAATAAAAAGAAAATATATCGTTATTGAAATTTCGGACTAATCGATGCCGTTTTCCCCAGGTCAGTAAATTCGATAATGAAAAAAAGAAGACGTGTGTAGGTTGGCGACGTTCATGTCCCTCTAAGAAGCTGCAACACCTCAACGTGACAACGTAATACAAGTGACAGCCCCATCTAGTGCACAGTTTTGTTTCTGCACATACATGCAGTCATCGATCATTGATTTTAGGTCACATCGTCCAGCCTTACTTTCTGGGGAAAAGTTGAGTGACCATGAGCATGTCCAAAGACCTCTCGTATCCCACTTGTAAGAGTCCAAATAAAACAATTACTAAATATAAGGAGTCTTATTTAGATTATTCTGCAGTCAGACACACGTAAACATCAGTGAATCCACAATAATGAAACGATTACTTCTTGAACTAATTTTAACTTTCCTTTCGTGCCTAAACATCTAAAATGTGTGGTGAGAGGAATTAATGGTGTTTTTGCTCTGAAGCAGACTAGATCCTTTTGTTTCTCTGTTTTCCTGAAGCAGCTCCGCGGAGATCCATCTCCATCAAACCTTATGAATATAAAATCACATCCTCCCACCTACGACTGCTTCTCACTCTGCAACAAGCAACTTTCAACTCATGAGCCTCAAAATACCTTCAAGGGGGAACTGGGTTTAATTTTCCTGCTAGATGCCAAAAAACATTAAGTCAGAGACTCTGAGAGGGAAAATAAACTCCTTCTGTGTTCAGTTAAGAATCAAAACGCCTCCTGACAGGTCAAAGGTTACCACCGGCTCCATGGAGTCGTCTCGGCCTCAAAGATAAACCGGGGGTGCTGCATCTCTTCTCACTAAGAAGTTGTTTGACGCATCTGACATAAAATACTGTGTCTCCACTATTTCCTGTAATTTTTTTAATTTATTTGCATGTAGATGATCGAGTTCTGCAGAGACTTTGGATGATCTTTTTAAAATGAATGACAAAATGACAGCCGACAACCTTTCAGACACTAACCACACCGTCTGGTGGATGGATAGAGTTGTCATTTCTTATCGCTGCTGTCTGCAGGCAGACGGGAGGAGAAACGATAGCAATAAATACTGGAAACGAAGAAGAGAATGATGGGCAGAAGAAACGTCTAATGTCAAGAGAATCAGCTGGTATGAGGAAAACAGAGGTGGAAAGTTCACTTTCTCTGTCACAATTCTGATTTGTTGTCATCTGGATGTTTCAACAGTAGAAATTAGAGATGCGAAGAGTTGAACCATCAATAACAGCTAAAAGGAATTTCTGCATAAAATTTGGTTTAAGATTTAAGACTTGGATCAGACCAAAAAAGAAGATTCCAGGCACCAGCAGCTGGTGTCTGGTCCTCCGACCGGGGGAAGCTTGGAGTAGAGCTGCTGCTCCTCTTCGTCAAAAGAAGTCACCTGAGGTGGTTCAGGTATCGGATTATGATGCCTCCTGGAAGTGAGGAGGTTCTCAG